CATAGTTTGGTTATTATGGACATTGCTTCTATAAACATTGGGATGCAGGTGCCTCTTTGGATCACTACATCTGTATCTTTGGGGTAAATATCTAGTAGTACAATTGCTGGGTCGTAGGGTAGCTCTATTTTTAACTGTTTGAGGAACCTCCATACTGTTTTCCAGAGCGGCTGCACCAGCTTGCATTCCCACCAACAGTGTAGGAGGGTTCCCCTTTCTCGGCATCCTCACCAACATCTGTTTCCTGACTTGTTTGTTGTTGCGTTCAAGATTTTCTTTGTCTTTTCTTCCCACAGCTTGTTTCTCTTATGTCTAGGTTAGGATCTCTAAGTTTACCCTATTTGAAGATTGTTGAGCTTCTTGAACATGTAGATTAAAATTTATATAAATGAATTTTTTGGCCATTATTTCTCCACATGTTCTGTCGTTTTTTTCTTTCTCCTCTTCTTTTGGTATTCTCATTATGTGTATGTTGGTACGTTGGTATTATAAGAACATGAACTCTTAGGCTCTGTTCTTATTCTGTTTCTCAGACAGGGTATTGTCTATTGATCTTCAAATTTGCAGCTTTTTTCTTCCCCCAGCAAAAATTTGTTGTTGAACCCTCTTAAGAATTTTTTTTAAAAGGTTTTATTTTTTTAGGTAATCTCTATACCAACATGGGGCTTTAACCCACAACCTAGAAATGAAGAGTTGCATTCTCTATTGACCGAGCCAGCGAGACGCTCCCATCTAGTGAATTTATTTCAGTTTTTGTACTTTTCATTTCTAGAATTTCTCTATGATTCTTATGTTTTCGACTTCTTCATTGATAGTCTCTATTTGGTGACACATTGTTCTTATACTTTCCTTTAGTTTTTTCAACATATTTCTAATAGTTGATTTCAAGTATTCATCTAGTAAGTTCATTGTCTGGGCTTCCTTTAAGGATAGTTTCTTTGACTAGTTTTTTTTCCCCTGTATGGGCCATATTTTCTTGTTTCTTTACATGTACAATTTTTTTATACTTGACCAGCTAAAACTGGTCATTTACAATAATCTCTTGTGACAACTTTGGAAATCACATTTGCTCTTTCTCCAGATTTGTTGTTTCTTAAGTGATTTTCCGGAACTAATTCCATAAAGTCTGTTTTTCTTTCTTTCTTTTTTTTTTTTGATGTGTATGGCTCCTGCAATCTCTGCTTGATTAGCTTAGTGTTCGGCTAATGATTAGACAGAGATTTCCTTGAATGCCTTCAACCAGTAAATCTCATAGCCTTTGCTGAAGGGCTGTCTGTGTATGTTGAGGAATGTTTTCAGTGTCCTGGCAGGCAGTTTATACATCTCTGCCTTCCCCTTTATTGTTTGCTTGTGCAGAGCCTCAAAGTCAGTCAGACATGAGACCTTAGTGTCTTCTTAGGTCTTTCCTCAGACTTTCTTACAGTCTCGCACATATATGCGTAGCCTTCCAGATTCCCAGGAATATGTCAGATTTTTTCAAAGTTCCCTGTGAATATATTCTCTATTTTTCTTTGTAAGTTTTTTGGTCAGTGTTTCTGCTCCAGTTTTATCATCTTGGGTGGCTGCCATGTTAAACAGTTGTTGGTGATTCTTTTTAATCATGGCTTCAGGGAAAAGAGGCTCTCCCACTAAGTGTGCTATGAATCAGGTAAAATAAAACCCTGTGAATGGGGATTCTGGGATATGCCAGACAGGCGAAATAATTACAGTTCTCTTGAAATGGGGATTTTTGTGGTGCTCCAAACTTGGTCAGTTCCTTCCAGTGGCTTCAAGGCTTCTGGTTTTCAAACTGTCGTGATTGTGAGGCTGTTGATTTTTAGCTAGTGAGTCGGAGATGGAAGTAAGACACAGCAAAACAGTGAAAAACTTGTTATCCTTAGCAAGAGTAGCCGTTTTTCTTGAAGAATGCTCCTTGGATTGTTGCCAGCCTTTGTTTAATTTCCAGAGCCTGAAAAACTTGATTTTGATAGATTTTGCCAATGTTTTCTTGGCTGCTTTGGAGGAGCAGATTTTTAGGGGTCCTTATTCTGTCATTTTGAAGGGCTCCTTCCCTGTTAGCTTTTATAATTGCAGTATTTTCTTTATCTCTTTGGAAGTATTAATGATATATTTTTAAAACTTCTCATTGCCTCTTCTTTCCTCTGTGTTGTGATTTTGGAGTATGTGTTTGTTCATCTTGGTCTCTTTCACTTTAAAAACTTTACTCATGTATCTTTGAATGCTTGGTTATCTGCTCATATTGAAGAGTAGTGGACTAAAAAGTCAAAAGGTCTGAGTGTATGGGTGGGGCTTGATGATTGTGAGCCTACTAGTATTTGCTTTTACGAAATTGTAATTTTTAAAAATTATCTGTCTATCTAATTTTGAGCCAGGAGGTTGGGAGGGAGAGGGAGAGAGAGAGAATCTTGAGCAGGCTCCACACCCAGCATGGAGCCCCACATGGGGCTTGAGCTCATGACCCTGAGATCATGATCTGAGCTTTGAAATCAAGAGTCGGATGCCCAACCAACTGAGCCACTGAGGCGCCCCTAGATTTATAAGATATTCTAGGAAGGAATAATTAGATCTAGATCTTAACAGTAAAATAAATGCCAGTTGGATTGCAGAGTTGAATATAAATTTTGAACTCAGAAAAACCAGGGGAAAATTGTATTGGTTATTTGTCAAAATTTAAATTTGAGATCCAGAGATTTAAAATTAAAAAGTGAAAAAAAAGTTGGTGGCTTCGGAGAGTAATCATTAGTTATATATTCAGTGTCTTTGAATGTATAAAACTCACCCTTCTGGGTTTGTGCAAATTCGTTGGTCCCAGAGAGGCATTTCGTGTTGCTGTGTTCAGAGCTCAAGGCAAAAGCCATTCCTCAGGAAGTCTTTGTTGGTGCTAGACTGTCCTGAAGCCAGGTTGCTGATCTCTTGAGGTGTAACCTTCTTAGGAGCCCCTGTATAGACATTGCTGAGCAGAGAATGAGGCAGCTAGTGAGCCCTAAGTGTAAGTAGAGGGAAAGGCACACCGCCTGAGGGAATTCTGAATTCAAGTGCAGGTACCAAAAAATAGTAATCTTTTTAGCATTTTCACACTTAGTTGTTTGGGCCAGCTTGTGGGTAGCTTGTTGTAGTTGAGGGTAATGGGGCCCCAGTGAGTAGACATTACCACAGACAAAGAGCATCTGCAGATTCTTCCACAGCGGACATTGAAAATGGTGACTACTTTACCAACAATGGATGAAATTCTTGCCCCTGGCAGGAATTTTAGGACCAGCCAGGCGAGAGGTATACCTTGTTCCTAACTTGCAAACTTGCAGGCATGCTCACGTCAGAGGGTGTAGTTGTGACACAATAAAGTGATAAGTTGGTCAGGGCATGCCGCGGCAACCTGTGTAGTGATATTATTTGTGCTCTTTGTAAGCCACTGGAGATCTTTGGTGCTTTTAAGAGGGAAGGTGATGGAAACATCATAAGAAATTTATTCTAAGGCATTTTTCCAGATCTTTAGTAACCTCTGGATATGAAAGTGAGTTTTACTCCCATCTGGTCCTGAGATGACGAATAAGATTTTTGTAATTCAGTGCCAACTTTGATTAATTGGTAGTGGCCGCCTAGAGAGGCTTTGAGAAGGATTTTGAGGCTACATCTGGGCGTAGGTGGAAAGATGGGCAGAAAAGATCGATAACCTGCCATGGAACGGGACTGGGGGAGAGACAGGATGTCAGGCTCCTTCATCCCATCCCCTTCGTTTTACCTCTCTTTGCTCATGTGTCCTTTTGGCTCCCCTGTCACTTAGGATGTGACATTCTGAGTAGAAAAGAATGAAATAGAGGCTTCAGAAGTTAAGAACTTTACACACTCAGCATCTGGCCAGCTCAGTGCTGGACTCAGTGAATGAACCATGGATGAATGGAGGCCAGAACATACCTAGTTTCCGTAGTGAGGGCAGGAACAGGATTTACACGGTGATGTCACGCTCCTGCGTGACATAGTGTTATATAGTTCCCATCCCTATCCTGAAGGAGAGTCCATTCTAGTTGCGAAGAAAAGACAAACATGTTTGAACTAATTAGAGCTTGTATGACAGGACAGTTTGTAAGCAGTTTCTAGTCTGGTCCCTGAAATGGGTGGTGTGGGTTTGAACGCAGGAGTACATTGCTTTGGACTCTTAGCCTTTACACTTACTCCAATGTACCTGTGTTTTGCTTTGGAAAGCCTAGTTTTTTCTTGACTTCTACCAGAGCAACCCCTTCACTCCACCCTACCCCCAATTTTTCTCTCATTACTGGTGTCACTTAGGATGGAATATTTTGACTGGTTAAGGGGTTTTGTTTCAATTTCAGTGTCAAGGTGACATTGATCCATTAATAGAAAATAAATGTTATGTAGGTTTTTTTCAGTTAAAGATCATCTAGTCACAGTGTTTGTTTCTGGAGAAATTATTTATAGCATTTTTTAATTCAGCAGAAGTCACAGAAAAGCCTTTATATTGTAATGTCAGTGCATTTTGAAAATCTTTATCCTAAGTAATCACCAGTCTGTGCTTAGACAGAAATAGGAGAAACATGCTTTTCATAATGTATACATTTTGTGTAGAGCGGTCAGTCCATTTAATATAGTGCCTGCGAATATGCGCTCTGGATTCTTACTCTCAGGGCTGCCATCTCCACCCGAACTCACCATGTTACCCTATAAGGAAGTTATCTGGGCTTGATTTCCTCATCTGTAAAATGGGGATGATAATAATCTTGTATATGGCTACTGTAAGGATTAATTGAGATCTTTCAGAGAGAGTCCTAAGTCAGTGCTTAGTCTGTAATAAGTGCTCGATTATTGTTGGCTGTTACTAATGTTATTAATATAGTTACTGTTTTTGTTATTAGGTGGGTTTGTATCCTTGATTTTTTTTTGGGGGGTGTGTGACTCAGCTTCACATTAGTGTTTTAATATAATTGACTGTAAACGGTGATAGTTAATAGTTTCTATATATACACATGTATTTTTTTTTCATACAGGTTGAATGTAATTTTTACAAAATTTGATGAAGTCCAAAAATCTGGAAACATGATACAGTCAGCAAACGGTGAGTAGAAAAAGCAATCATTCTATTATCGCCTTTTCAGTTTTAGGTCAGTAAGACTTAGGCTAGTTCTGAACAGCTGAATTTGATATCTCGAGGAGAGTTTCTAGGTCTGAAGACTTACCTCCATTTACCCACTTTCCCAGGCCAGAAACGGTGGGGTTGTCGCTGACTTTCTCTTTGGATCCCAGGCATTCTGACTGTAGCCACCACTCTTCTCCTAGTGCAAGTGCTTGTAGTCTTCTACCTTTGCTCTCGCACTGGCCGCCTGACCAGTGTCCTTGCTGTTACTCTCCCCAAGCACCTAAAAGCTGTTTTTCACACAGCAGAGTAATCCTTTAATTTTTATTATTTTTAAATTTTAAAAAAATTTTTAAGTAGGGCGCCACGCCCAGTGGGGAACTCCAACTCATGACCCTGAGATTGAGTCGCATGCTCTGTCGACTGAGCCAGCCAGGCACCCCTAGAGTAATCCTTTTAGGATGTAATTGATGTGATGTTAATCCCCGGTTCAGAATCCTCCAGAGGTTTTCGAGATCAGTGGCTCACCATGGCCCACAAGGCCCTGCGCACAATCTGGTGCTGACCACCATTCTGATGTCATCCGATGTTCTTCCCCAGAGTTCTCTTGGCTCCCGTCCCATTGACCTCCTTGCTAATTTTGAACATTCCAGGCTTCTCCTGCTTCAGGGCCTCTGCGCTTATGACTTTTTCTGTTTGAAACATTTGTGCCCTGGGTGTGTCTATGGCCCTCCTCCTCATTCCATCCAGCCCTTGACTGCAGACACACTTCATTACCAAGGCCAGCCAGTATAGCACATCCGATGTCCTATGGGAACTCTGTGCCTTCGTTGTGTTTAATGTTCTTTCTTGCCGCATATTGCTGCAAAATAATGTGTTTATTCTTGGGGGCAAGAACATTGTATTATTCCCTTCTTTATCCTTAGTGCCTCAAAAGGTCCCTGGCATGTGGTATAGGTATGCAGTAAATATTGTCAAATAAATAAAATAATGACTGAGACTTGAATTGTGACTTAATGTTTCTGGTACTTATATTCCTTTGACTATACTTTGTGGTGGTTGAGCACGTGGATATTTCTTGTGATTCCAGAAGGTGAAGAAAAGACAAGTGAATTTGGTGTATAAGTGTGTATGAGTGAAGTCCTCACAAAGCAGTTGCCACCAAGAACTTTTTCTAACTTTTTACATACATCATTGTATCATAGCAATTTCTGAATTGCTAGGGATCTTAGGTCACAGCATAGCTGTTGAATTTTGAAAATCTTGAAGTCATAAAAACCGGTTGTCACTTTGGGGAATGTCGCTCCTAGTACGTAAGGGCTGAGCAGGGGACAGGATGTAGGTCTTTTAAGTCCTGCTCTGCTGTGTACCTATCATTATCAGTAAGGAATTTGTCTTTGCATGGTATGTTTCTTAAAGACTGCTTAAAGAATTCTAAACATGCTTTCATTAAGCCCTCTTATTTCTCTTCCGTGTGTTTATAGAAACATAATATTAAAAGGGCAAAAAAAGAGTATTTACAGTAATTCTGCAATCACCAGTAAATCAGTGTTCATTTTTTCATATTCACTTAACAATTCATTTGTCTGTTACTGTATAATTTGTAATTTTATCATGGCATAACTTCTGTACATTGCCCTCTACATTTTTTTTTTTTAAGATTTAATTTTTAAGTAATCTTTGTACCCAACGTGGGATTTGATCTTCCAACCCTGAGGTCGAGTCACACACTCTAGTGCCTGAGCCCGCCAGGTGCCCCCTACTTTTGTATATATACTTTCATATGTGCTTTACAGTGGGTCCCTGGTAGAGCTAGAACCAGAACTCTGGCTGTGGAGTTGTGTTCCTGTGATGAGTGGCGTTGATGGAGTACAAGGGCAGGGCTTCCCAGCCAGATGCCACACATGTGCTTTTAATTCTGTGTGTGTATGGGTGTTTATTTGTGTAGTTTGTGTGGTTTCCCAGTTTAAAACTTGTTGGTACCAAGGTAGAAAGTACCAGGTAAAGAGGTACTGGTGGTGGGGGCTGAGAAGTGAGTTTGTGCTTTATAGCCTGTGTTATAAATCATAACTGTGAAACAGAATCTGATTATAATACTGGCACTGGGGAGAAGGACCACACCCCTGCTGGAGGCCTTACCCAGGAGAGTGTTTGTATACTCTGAGTTTTAATGAGCACAACACACATGATTTAATCAAGGGTATTAAAATCCTGTGGCTTTAGGTGTGTCACAGCAACATTTTGTGCTAGACCTCCATGTGCTGTAAATACTGCCGCTGCATATCCATATATGTATATGTGGTAAAGGTAAAGAATGAAGACGGTTCTTTTAGGCATCTGTGTTAAAAATAGCAGATGGTAAGGAAATCTTAATTCAAGACTTACTGGAGGCCTTAAAATTTCAGCTTTTTGCTGTCTATATGTAGTATTACTTTTTAATTGTTAGAACCAAAACAGAATCACCTAAAGGGGTATGTATAAAGATTTTAGAATTCTTAACCCAAATAAGTTCAGTCTCTTTATGGTAACTTCGAGAGACTGGTGAGATGTTCAGTAGCTGTCAAAAGCAAACCACCTAATTTCCTTCTTTGCTTGAGTCCTTGAACATTTAGATAGCATAGAGAAACTGCAGTTGGAACATAAGAAAACCCTATTCTGATTTTTGTTTTTCTGGTTCACTGACTCCCAGTATAACCAGTTTTTGACCTCCTCTGCATGTCAGACCATTGACTGCTCTACTTATTCTCAACTCTCCACCCTCTGCTTTCTTCAGTATGCTGCTTATGTGGGTAGATTATGACCTTTCTGAAGTTTCCTGTTAGTTCTCTATGTCTTTGTAGATTCCTTGGCATTTTCTGCATAGATTGACAAATCATCTGCAAGTAGGAGTAGTTTTATCTCTTTCAGATTTATATACTTATTTCTTTTTCTTGCCTTATTGCACTGGCTAGAATTTCCTCCTCTACATAAAGTCTAAGTGGTGGGAGTAGACCTCCTTATCTGGTTCCCAGTCTTAGGTCTTTCACAACTAAGTGTGATGTTAATTGTAGGTTTTTTTGTAGATGTTCTTTAGCAAGATGTTGAGGTAGTTCTCATCTATTCCTATTTATCTAAATTTTTATTAGAAGTGAGTGTTGGATTATTTTGGGGGGACTTATCAGCATATTTTAAATATTGAGACAAGTCTATACCAAAAATTTGCTTTTTTAAAGTGTATATTTTTGTATATTCACAAAATTGTGCAATTATCTAATTCCAGAATATTTTTATATTCTGGAATACTTATGACCATTAGCACTCCCAATTTCCTTCTCCTCCTAGTCCCTGACCACCTACTTTCTGTCTCAAGGGATTTGCCTTTTCAGGACATTTTATATAAATGCAGTCATACAACATATGGCTTTTTACGTATGCATAATGTTTTCAGGATTCACCCGTGTATCAGTACTTCATTCCTTTTTATGGCTGAATAATACTTCACCGGCGTATAGATATATCTCCTTATGTGTATCCACTCATCAGTTGACGAACACTTGGGTTGTTTCTACTTTTTGATTCTTGTGAACAATGGTACTATGAATATTTGAAAGTTTTTATGTGGAGATGTTTTCATTTCACCTGTGTATATACCTTGCAGTAGAATTGTTGGCTCCTGTGGTAACACTGTGTTTAACCTTTGCCTAACTGGCACCTTATTTTCCAAGTGGCTGCGCCATTTTACATTCTTACCAACAATGTGTGAGAGTTGTAGTTTATTCGTATTTAAGTCAATACTTGTTACTGTCTGTTTCTTTGATTATAGCCATCTTAGTGGGTGTGAAGTGTTGTCATTATGGCTCTGATTTGCATTTCCTTAATGACTAATGATGTTGAGCATTTTTTTCATGTGCATGTTGGCCATTTGTAGATCTTCTTTGGAAAAATCTCTATTGAGTTCCTTTGTCCTTTTTTTGTTTGAAGGGTTGTTTGTGTTTTTATTTATTTTTTTAATTGAAGTATGGTTGACACACAGTGTTACAATAGTTTCAGGTCCACAGCATAGTGATTCCACAGCTCTGTCTGTTGAAGAGTGTAGCCACCATCCGTCACCATACAGCACTTTCACAGTACCGTTGACGCTATTCCTTATGCTGTGCCTTTCATCCCTGTGACTTAACTCATTCCCTGACTGGGAGCCTGTTCCTTCCATTCCCTTTCACCCATTTTGGCCATTTTCCCACTCCCCGCCCCTCTGGCAACCATCAGTTTGTTCTCTATATTTATGAGTCTGGTTCTCCTTTTTGTTTCTGTGTCCATTCATTCGTTTTGTTTTTTAGATTCCACTTGTAAGTAAAATCATATGGTATTTGTCTTTCTGACTTGTTTCACTTAGCATAATACCCTTTAAGTCCATTTATGCTGTTACAAATGGCAAGATTTCATTTTTTTTTTTTTTAAGATTTTATTTGAGAGAGCGAAAGAGAGGGAGCACAAGTGGGGGGAGAGGCAGAGGGAGAGGGAGAAACAGACTCCCCACTGAGCAGGGAGCCTGACGTGGGGCTTGATCCCAGGACCCTGGGATTGTGACCTGAGCTGAAGGCAGTCACTTAACTGACTGAGCTACCCAGGCGCCCCATATCTCATTCTTTTTAATGGCGGAGTATTATTCTGTTGTGTGTATGTGTGTGTGCGCATGCGTGCGTGCGCGCACACACCTTTATCCATTCAACAATTGGGTTGCTTTCATATCTTGGCTATTTTAAATAATGCCACAATAAACATAGGGGTGCATATATCTTTTTGAATTAGTGTTTTTGTTTTGTCTTGGTAAATACCCAGGAGTGGAATTACTAGGATCATACAGTATTTCTAATTTTTGGAGGAACCTCCAAATTATTTTCCACAGTGGCTGCACACATTTACATTCCCATCAACAGTGCACTGTACATACTTGCCAGCACTTGTTATTTCTTATCTTTTTGATTCTACCCATATGACAGGTG